GTTTAAGTGACTCACCCATCTACTCTACTACTTACTAGTAGGCATTTATGAACTCCAGCACCTGTAGGATTGAAGAAAAAAAAAAAAATCCCCAAAGCATAGCTCTGAAACAAAACATGAAAGTGGGTGTCAGTACATATTGGGCAGAGGACCAGGGGTTGGGGCAGCAGACTAATCTCTCCCCGGAGTATTACTAACCACTGTGAGAAGCCACACTGAAGACAGGAACCTGCCTTGAATGAGGAGCCTTACTGGCCAAATGGAACATCTCCTGAACACAGTTCAACTTAGTTTGCTAACCCTGAGTTATCAGGAAGCAATACTTTAAGTACACTAAAGCACAGGAGTCACAAGACAGTGGTTCAGGCTGTTGCTTACTAGCTATGTGACCTTGGGCAAACTTGAGCTTCAATATTCCCGTCTATAAGACAGCACCATTCCTAAACTGAAGGAGTTCTCTGAGGACAAAATTAGATTAGCTGTGTGATAATAATGAAGTACTATGCAAAAATTAGGTAGCTACTTTTTTGTCTTTAATCTTCTGGAATCTAGAACAGGCTCCACTCTCTGCTAGGCTTGTCTGCACAAGACCTGTGATCCCAGCGTTGAAGAGGCTGAGGCAAGAGGGGTTCCAGTTGGAGTCAGTCTTGGGTACATAGTAAGTCTGCCTAAAAATAATAATAATAAAAATAAATTTTAAAGATTCCTTAATGGGGCTGGAGAGATGGCTCAGCGGTTAAGAGCATTGACTGCTCTTGTGGAGGACCTGGGTTCGATCCCCAGCACCCACATGGTGGCTAACAACCATCTGTAACTCCAGTTTCAGGAGATCCAACACTGTCTTCTGAACTCTGTGGGCACTGCATGATATGGGTGCACTTACAAATATGCAGGCAATACACTCATACACATAAAATTAAGATTCCTTGCCATTTTAATAACTTGATGGAAATAGTTTACACACCACAAGTTTACCCTCTCAATGCATAAAATTCAATAGTTTTTTATTAGCAACTAGGTTTCTTTCTATCATTAAAACTTTGGTTATTATTGTGTGTGTGAGCATGCAATGGTGTAAGCATTTGTCAGTCAGTTCTCTCCTTCCGCCATGGATTCCGGGGACTGAACTCATCAGGCTTGTACTCTCTGAACCATCTTGCTGGCCTGCTATCATTTAAAGCATTTTTAATTTATAAAATATTTGCATGTAGTTATAGGATATACTATAATTCAAGTATATAACATGTAATGAACAAATTAAAGCAACCAAACAGTATTTTCATCTCTAAGAACATGAATCTTTTCCATGGTTGTCCCCCACCTTCCCAGCTTCCTCTTGTTCACCCTGCACACAAATCACTTTCCAGAGTTTAGTTGGAAAATGGATCCTTGTAACAACTGTCCTACTGAGTACTTCTCACCATGTTATCATTTTTATCCAGTCTTCCACCCATCAACTATGGACAAGACAGGGCCAGTGACTAACACTTACACAGCCCTTTATAGTGTACAGACTGCTTTCCCAATGGGTTGGTTCTTTTGATCTTCATGTCCTACATTGTACCCAGAGCCCCTGCTTTATGAAGAAATGAATTTGAACACCTCCTGTGACTTAAGGGATAGTAACAAAGAAAATGTTAAAAGCTTCTTTCAATCTCCAACAGCACAATGTATCTGTTTTAATATAAATATTTATTTAAAACAATAAAAGATTAAAAGAAGTTCTGTTGCCAAAGGAAATCTTCCAAAGACTAAGATTAAAAGGCACAGGCTGGGGGTCAGGGAGATGGTTCTGTTGGTAAAGTGCTTGCTGCACAAGCATGAACGCCAGAGTTTGGATCCCCGGTACCCATGTAAAGAGTCAGGCACAATGGTGCATGTCTGTACCCCCAGAGCTGGGGAAGCAGAGACAGGAGGATTCCTGTGGCTTGCTGGCTCGCTAGTCTGGCCCGACTGCTAGCTCCAGTTTTGATCACCACTAACCTTGAAGCCCATCTGTGATACACATTTAAAAAAATATTTTTTATTTATTATTTAAAAATTTTTTATGTGTATGAGAGTGCTAGGATCAAAGGGTGTGCAACCACACCCAGCTCAAGACCCATTTTTGAGGCCAGAAGACTTAGTGATTAAAAAGAGTCATACACCAAGAGTCTCATCCACATTTGGAGATGATAAAATATAGTTCCTGCCCTCAAGGAATCTACATCTGGCATTTCAGTAAAATAACATCAAAATCTTTCACAAATACCCTGGGAAGTGGGCAGAGTTAGCCTGATTTTACAGAAGAGGAAACAGAGGTCCCAGATGATAACTAGTTGGCCTATGATTATTCTTTGGGAAGGGACAGAGTTAAGACCCCTACTCAGGTCTTTGAATTCAAAGACTTTTACCAAACAGAAAATGCCGTTGCAGCAGTGTAAGCAAAAATCAGTGGGAAGACATTCTAAACGGGGACTGGGACAGTAGGGTCATAGGTTAATACTCCAGTCAACTGGGGCTTTGGAAGTCTGGAAGGGACTTTTTGTTGTTTTTGATAGCGTATAGCCCGACTTGTCCGGAGAGCAGCAGATAGCCTCTGCAGAGCCTCAGACCACAGGGAGCAAGGAGCACCTAAAATCAGGTAAGAGATGGCCTTGTCCAGACTTCCCAGTAGGCAATGAGCCATGCTTGAAACACTACATCCCTTTAACCGTAGAATGAGGGTTACCCAGGAGAGGGTGCACACTGTCTTCCTCAACAGAGGGATTCTTTGTTCAGGGTAATATAATAGATTCGGAGAAATACAAAGACCTATTCATCGAGTTCTTTAGGCTTTGCCCACTTGCGAAAAAAAGAAAACAAAAGCAAAAAATCTCCTTCCTTTGCCATTTGATAACTTTTGTTACCCCATCAGTCTGACTGATGAACTGGGACTGGTAAAGATTACCCATATCCACTCCAATTTCACAAGGTTATTCCTCCTCCTTCCAGGCTAAAAGATTAACCCACTCCAGATCATCTCTCAGAAAAAAGCATTTAAATGCTTAATTAGTGCTCATACCTCAATTAATTTCAAGTTCCTTAAAGAGGGGGATGGGAGAAAGGACAGGTGTGGTGGCTCACTTCTGCAACCCCAGCACTTGGGAGGCTGAGGCAGGAGGATCATAGAGAATTCAAGGCCCATGTGGACAACATAGTGAGTTCCAGAACCTGGACTTCAAAGTGAGATGGGACTCAAAAAAGCCCAAACAAAACAAAAACAATATAAAACAAAACAAAAAAGTTCACTGAACATAAAGTCTAGTGATATTATTTCATCTGCAATAGTAAAATTTAAGGCAAAAATCTCCCCAAATGTATTTCAGACCTTACAAAGGAGAGTTACCTCTGTAATCCCAAACAACATGATTGGTGTTCAGAGTGAAATCTGATGAACTGTAGTTTTGAGTATGAATTCTAAAAGCAGATACCCCATTTCCATCTGCTTGGCTACCAGGCTTTGCCCTATCTGTTCCAGAGCAGCACAAGCCTCTAGACAGGAGGGAGTTAATTTTTAAAACAATAGGAACATTTCTAGTTGAGACAGTCTTTGGAAAGACATCCAGATATTTTGCAAGAGAATCAACTTCTGGTCTACTTCAAATGCCCCAGAAGAGGTACTCTCTGGTCACCAACCTTGAACACTACCTTGAGGTAAAAGGAAGGGAGAGATAAGCTGAAGCCACTTTGTAATGCAAAGCTTGATGATTAATCCTGATCCAAAACTCCAGGGGAAAGAAACAGCTGACTTTCTTAAAGGCACTACATTAGGCTGGGAAACAGCCTCTCCATATACTAAGTTCATTCCAGTAACACTGAAGTATTTATTGTCACAAGAAACTGAGCCTGAGTAAAATACCTAAAACCTCAGAGATGTCAAGTGTTGTAACAGCTGATCTCATGACCCTATCCAGAACAGCCTCCCACCAGTGTTTTCTTCTGCTTTCCCTCTCTCTGGGTTCATTCTGATGTCCACATGTGCACTCTTGCTGGCTCCGGAGGCCCTCACTGGTCAGCATCACCTATGCCCTTCTGAGCACTGCATAAGTTTAAAGTTTAAAGGATAGGTTTTCTAGACCAGGCAACCCTTTAATGTGCTCTCACCTCTGATTCACTACCTTGTCATAGCCCACAGGTCAATTTAGGGGGAGTTAGTGGCCATAAAGGCTCAGAACTCCCATTGGCTTACTCATTCTGATTGGATTTAATTAGCAATCCCTCCTTTGGCACCCTCCACGCCCTCAGTTTTGAATCAGAAAACTGTAGACGCACCAACAATAGTGAGACAACTGTAGGTGCACAGTGAGGCAGAAAACTGTAGACACACAAACAGTAGTGAGCAACCCACGCCTTAGGCTACCACAGCAAGGAAAAGCAGGACTAGGGAAGTGAGGACATAGTTCCAGTCCCTTGTCTTGTCTCTACTTAGCTAGTTGTGCTAATGGGAAATTCAGCTACCCCATTTGTGGGCCTCAGTTTCCTGAAACGGTAAAAAGAACGTGATAGGAGACAGCCGGCACTGTTTAGATCAGGCTGACTTATGTAAAGTACTCAGGACCCGTCCAATTTAGTGTCTGAATTTTGTTTCCCTTCTTCACCTCAATCATCTGGATAGAACGGGCAATAATAGGATCGGATCTTCTAAACAAATTTCAAAGATCGTGTGCACGTAGAATTTGTTTTTAAACTGGTTAAAACCACACGCGGTCCCCCTCCCTCTGCATCCATTGTCTCTGATCCCACATCCTAAATCAGGTGACCACAGCCAAAATGGGCTCAAAGCTGGCCAAACAGCAGCCCGAGCTGTCAACCCTCTTCCAGAGCACAGAAGGGAGCGCGTGGCCGGACACGTACACAGGAGCTGCAACCTCAGGGGCTGCACCCGCGGACCAACTTCTCCTTGGCGCCACCCGTGCCCCTCCGCTCCAGAGCCGGGGGTCTTCCCGCCCAGCTCGCCAGGGTCTCCCGCGGCCACTCACCTGCGCCAGGCAGAGCAGCAGTAGCAGGAGCCCGACGGTCGTGCGGCGCGCGCTCATGCTGCCGGGTGCCGGGCTGCAGACGTCTGCTGGGTTCCGCTCGCTCTGCACCGCACCGCGAGCGCGGGTCCACCAGCTGTGAGATTTCTGGGCAGGCGCTGGACGCGGGAGGGAGCAGACGCAGGCTTCTGCGGCCGGCTCTGCGCGCAGGTCAGGAAGGGCGGAGGCGGCTCCACCCCTCCTGGGCAGGGCCGTGACGCCAGACTCCACTGGGCGGGGCCTAGTGCTAGGGGCGGGACCGAGCCCCGCGCAGCCTGTCGGGCAGGCGCGTTCTCCCGGAACCGGTACCCTCCCTTCTGGGCGGGGCCGCCGCAGCTACAGCTCCATGGGGCGGGGCTAGGCGCAATGGGGCGGGGCTTAGTGCGTAATGGGCGGGGCCTACTTAGGCACAGCTTTGCTAGCCCGCGCCGTGCGCAGAAGCTGATCCCGGGTGTTTTGGAATTCCCGCTATTTTCGCGCGCGCGGTGGAGCTGGGCTCTCCCACACCTGGGACGCTATATTTTGGAATCCAGTCTGGGATGGTACATCTGGACTTATTCCAACAATCTTTGACCCTGATGCTTTAACTTACTGCCTCCGGCCTTATTTTTCTTCTCGGTTGGAGAGGTTGGGCTAAAACCCGTAGGAATACTTCAGGGAAATTCCCAATGAAGAGCCCATTCCTCAGTTCACTGGGAAATTTCAGTTTCTTTCGGCTCCAAAAAGTACTCTGAGCAACTTCTCCCAAGACTAGTTACCCAAAGAGGATCGGTCCATCCTGGGGCATCTTCTAGCCAAGCTTGGGGCGGTGACCAGCAGTAGCCTGACCCAGTTGTGATCGACAGCACAGGGGGCGGAGCGTGGAGGTGGGTGGTGCCCTTTAGCCACGCGCTCTGTTTATCCCCAACTCCGACTGGGCTTGGGAAAGAGCCAAACCGCACCACCTGCCGGCGGAGCCCCGCTTAGCAGTGAAAAAGAGAAGTAAAACAAGTCTTTAGAATATAGTAAGAAACTATGTTGGCCTAAGAAAGTGACAGGAGGAGGCTGATGCAAGTCGTAAGATTAAAGAAGTATGAAACATCTCCGTTTTGTGCACTTACGCATTTTCATCTTAAACTATTTTATTTATATGCATTTTTGGTAACACTTTCCCTCAAATTTCAATTATTCAGACTAAAAAGCACTTTTGGAATCCAACCTGGGAGGGTATTTCTGGCGTTAGTTCAGCAATACCTGACCTTGATGCTTTAACCCTTGCCTCTCTTTCCCCTTTTCTCGTGGGTTGGAGAGGTGGAACGCGGTGTTAACAAGGAAAGGAGTACTTCAAGGTAGTTTTCTCAACTGAAACTCAATTCCTTGACCCCATTCATTACCATTTTGACGTTAGGAAAATAAAGGGTAAGGGTAATTTTCCCCACAGTGGAAGCCCATTGACATGAGACGTCTAAATGTCAATGTGGCAGTAACCCTCAGCTCTGTGTAATATGGAAGTGACCTGCGCACCCACACCCTGCCAGGTACTGTTTCAGTTACTGTATTGTCTTCTCACTTGACATGTCCGCCTGACTGGCCTGGCAGTGGAACCATGGGAATTTCTTCTGGACCTCAGCCCTAAAGCTTCCATCGTGACATCCCAGTACTCAACAAACTCTTTGCTCTCCTGGATCCAGTTCCTGGTGGTCCCCTGGTGATGTAGTATGTTTTGATGCAGGGAGTCTTAAAGTCGGGTCTTGGGACATAAAGCAGGTGCATTGGCTAAGAATCTTAGAAATGCAGAATTTCAGCCTCCGAGGTAGACCTCCTGAGTCAAGAAATTGTATGGGTGGTCCCCCCAAAAATTGTCCCTTATACACTCAATTTCAAAATCCTCTGGGTCCTGGTTAGGTTAGTTACCTTTCCAATTTTAGCCAAGTTATTATGGGGATAAACCATTTTTACTCAATAATTGATGAGTAAAATCAATTTCAAGCATTATAAGGCACCTATGTGGGATGGGCAGAAAATTTTATGTCTTCAGAAGCATGTTTACCACTCACCAAAACAGTAACAAAACAGACACTTTTTCTAGCTTTTAGTGATTTTTAAAAATTGTTTTTGCTCTTTGAGACAGAGTCTTACTATGTAACTCTGGCTAGCCAGGAACTTGTTATGAAATCTTGGCTAGCCTGGACCAGCGATCCACCTGCTTCCTTAGTGCTGGGATTAAAGGCAAGTGCTATCACACCCAGCCTGAATTCTAAGTGTTTTTATGGTACTTTTATTTTCCTTTTCCATATACTTCCTTCCATTACTGAGCTTGTCTGGATTCTACAAAGCCTTGACTTTTTTTGTGCCCTCTTTTTTTCCCTCTTGGTACTGTATTACAAAAATCTAAACATTTTCCTTATAGAGAGAGAGATAGAGGTGCGAAGTTCCGAGAAAAAAGCTGCATTACTCTCTACGTGTCCTACAGGACTGATGGACTGATTAAAAACAACAGTGATTGCAGAGACCTGGAATGTTGCAAGTCCAGAGTCAAAGTATCCAATCTATTGTCCACCTCTGTGATTGACCTAATATCTTTGTGACTTTGAGGTAAATCCTTTTGGAATGCACAAAGAAATACCTAGTTCCTACCAACCCAAAGGCTAAAAACAGATAGCATCTGAGGCCTATAGCAGAGATTTTACTGCTTTGTTACAACTTATCTACCTGTTGTTTCCACCAATGGGTTTGGAAAATTCCTTGATTTAGGTACTTTCTTTTTTCTGTGACTTCATCAAACTGTTACCACATTGGTACATGATATTTGAGGTGACCTAAATCTGTGTTTCTGGGTCATGGTCAGTTGTATTTGGCTCCAGAATACACTATCCCTTTAAAGTGAGAGCTATGAATTTTGCATCTACAGGGACAAGATGACCCGAGACAAAATTCTAGTTGGTAGATAGAAAGGGAAGGCTGGAAACACTCAGTGTTAATCAGTGTTTGATCCATTATATTATTCTATTTATTTATTTATTTATTTATTTATTTGGTCTTTTTGAGACAGGGTCTCCCTGTAGACCAGGCTGACCTCAATCTCATAGAGATTCACCTGCCTCTGCCTCCCAGGAGCTGGGATTAAAGGCATTCACCACCATGCCCTGCTCCATTATATAATTTATTTAATCAATTTCCTATTAGACATTTAGTTTGACACTTGCTGTAGGAAACAATGATGTAATTACCAAATTTTGGTAATCTTCTACAAAAGACATGGGAGATTTTTTCCAGTATTGGGGGTTGAACCCAGAGCCTTGCACATGCTAAAAGTTCCATCACTGAATGACACCCTCAGCCCTTTTTAAGACTGGGTCCCAGTATATTGTCCAGGTTGCCCTCAACCCTCAAATTCTCCAGCCTCAACCAGCCTCAATTTCCATGTAGATGGGATTACAGGCATATGGCATCATGCCCTGTAGACAAAATTTTATATTGTTGAATCAAAAGAAATGTGCATTTTAATTATTAAATTGCCCTTCAAGGAGGTTATAATTTATACCTTACACTTATAATTTTAATTTATACCAACAACACATGGAAATGCTTGATTCTGTACCCTTTGTCAAGACTTTGCCATTCAGATAGGTGAAAAACAGAATCTGTAATATTTTATTTCCTGTTTTTAAAATAACGAGGTGCTTCATTTGTATTCCCTTAATTATAGATAAAAATAAATCCCAGAGCTGGAGAGATGGCACAGTGGCTAAGAGGACTGACTGCCCTTACAGAGGACCCAGGTTCCATTCCCTGTACTCTCAGGGTGGCTAACAACCATCTGAAACTTCAGTTCCAGGAGCTCAGATGCCCTCTTCTGGCCTTCACAAGCATTGCATGCACATGATGCATTTATATACATGCAAGCAAAACACGCAGATAAAATAAAAATAAATTTTGGAAAGAATAAATAGCTTCATATATGTGGACATTGTTTCTTTTTCTTTTTCTTTATTTTCTTAGAGTGCTTTCTTTTTCATATTGATTTGCAAAACCGTGTGTGTGTGTGTGTGTGTGTGTGTGTGTGTGTGTGTGAATGCAAGTATGTGCACGTTCAAGTGGAGGCCAGAGGTCAACCTTAGGTGTTCTTCGGGTGCGTGTCACCTTATTTTTTGAAACACAGTCTCTTACTGGCCTGGGGTTCACTGACTAGGCTAGATTAGCTGGCCACCTGCCTCTGCCAGTCTAGAGCTGGGATTATAATCATACCTGGCTTTTTTTTTTTTTTTTTAAAGACAGGTTCTCACTATGAAGCCCTGGTTGGTCTGGAACTCACTATGTAGACCAGGCAAGCCTTGAACTCCTAGAGATGTAGCTGCTTCTACCTCCTTAGTGCTGGGATCAAAGCTGTGGTAGTCCATGCCTTACATCCCTGGCTTTTTTACTTGGGTTCTGGGGCTCGAACTCAGGTTCTCCTGCTTGATAGGCAAGCACTTTAGTAACTGAACTATCTCTTCAGACCCTGTAAAAGCTATTTTGTTTGTTTGTTTTTATTTTTGAGACAGGGTCTCCTTGTAGCCCCAGCTGGTCTGGGACTTGCTATGTAGACCAGGGTGGCCTGGAATTCACAGAGGTCTCTCAGCCTCTCCCTCCTAAGTGCTAGAGTTAAAGGGGTGCATCACCATGCCTGGCTAAATTTTGTTTTGTTTTGTTTTCCATAAAAGCTTTTTGTTAAAGTTAGCCCACGACAGATACTTTTGGTAGTTTATTCATTTTTAAGGCTCTAAATTACTTGATGTTTTCTGGTAAATTTTTTTTGGTCTTTTTGAGACAGGATCTCCCTGTGGCCCCAGTTGGTGTGGAACTCACTATTTTGACCAGGCTGGCCTTGAACTTACAAAGATCCGCCTGCCTAGTGCTGGGATTAAAGTTGTGTGTTACTACACCCAGATCTGGTAACATTTTTAATAATTTCAGGAAAATAGCAATAGCAGCTCTTGGATTATTTTGTTTTGAGTCATGCAAAGATCCAGCTTTGGGATGGAGTTGTAGTTCAGGGATAGAGCAGGTGCCTAGCATGTTCGAAGTCCTGAGTTTGAGCTTTAGCTCCTTAGCAACACCGGGTTGGGGTGCTGGGGAGGGGGCGGGGAGACAGAGAGAGATTGAGATGTAGCTTCTTCTCTCTTCTCTAAAGTCAAGGCAATCCATGGATACCTGCTTTTCTTAAGGGCATCA